TTTCTGAAACAAAATACTAGACAAAACAACAGATTAAAGAGGTATATATGTTTACCAAGACTATTAGGGATAAATGCTGTTAAGAAAAGCTTTAAAGAGCCAGACTTACTTCACTCAGTATAAAGCCAGATTTAACTGTTGTCAGAGGGTAAGAACTCCCTGAGAGTTAAGAACAAAAGAAAACTGTGTAACTAACACAGTATGAACTCCTGAGATAACAGCCCTGCATGGTCAAGTGCTCAAGTTGTATGTGTCCCTTCCATAAAATAAGAACATTTTGAACTCTTTTTCTCATTTTTTAAACAGACCTCCCAAAAAAGACTGGTCAAAAACAAAAGATTAATAATGCTGGTTAAAAAACATGAATATCCTCATCAGATGATCTAAACTTTAGGAACATGACTAGCAACCAACAGGTAGAACATAAAACAATTTACAGTGAAAACAGGAAGGGGCATAATAAGCTCCCGACTAGTAAGTAGAATTTGACGCCTTTCAGGATACCATAGTGAGGAGGCAAGACTGACAGAGCTGAACAAAAGTACCAACATCAATTATACATTAAGCATTCATTAAGCTTAATTTATGTCTGATTTTAAAGACAAAGTTAGAGTACTAAACACTTATTTCCTTCCTTCACTGCAAAGCAGCATTATATGCTCACTATAGATCAGTGCCCAATTCTCAGAAAGTGGTGGTCTGTGAGTTCAAAACTGTGTTCACATTAATACCTGAAGAGATTCCTTCCCTTTCCTTTCATTCATTTTCTCAAAAGCACACAACTGCTTTCTGAAAGCTAACATACATTACTCAAGAGACTGAATGGAAAAAGCAGATACCATGATTCAAGTTTCATTCAATCACAGCTCAAAGGAGATTTGAAAAACTCTAAAACAAAGAGGCTCTTCGTCTGGGGGGGGGTACTGTTTCTCATAATGAATTCACACATTTTTAGTTTAAATTTTGAATACATACACAGATACAAAGTTCTCTGAGGCCCTTAATTTTTATGAATCTAAAGGGGTCAAAATGGGAGTTTGGAAACAGCTGTCAGACAGAATGTATACAAGAACATGTTTGACAAAGTTTATTGCAGTTCATCAACAAAAAAGGAATGAAATCTTTGCAGTATTAATGTTTGAATTTTTTAAAAGCACATTTAGGATATGTATAAGAAACAAGTTATGTACATTAAACGTAGACTGTATTTTTACAGGGCTCAGAGATGACCAGCAATTCACCATTTGATTGCCTTTGTTGGAAGAGTGCAGATGAGTGCAAAAGGAACCATTTTTTTTTTTAAATTAAGCACTAAAAAATAGTAACAATTATCCTTTGCTGTTTTTTAAAAGACTGGTGAAAGGCTACAAGCAGGATGGATTTAAAAATCTTTAACTTTTATTCTTTCCACCAACTTTACCAAAACACCAACCGTTTCACATTAAGGTCTGTCTCCACGCAGAGCGGAACACAGCTCTGGCCATAACTGACCTGCTTTTTCCCACTCATGTTCTCATCTTTCTCAAGACTTTACACAGTGCCTTTGACAAACACCAAGTTAATGAGTGCCTTTAAGACTTCACTTTTCTTCTTTTCCTTCTGTATGAGACAGACTTCTTTTACATTTATTCCTAATCTGTCCTTTCCCCTTTAGCTCCAATTTTCATCTGAGTTAACGGTCACATGCTGCTGTAAACTGTTTCCCCATATTCTCTTGCCTGAAAATGCTCATCTCTATTTTCACCTAGCAGAGATAAGAGACTGAACACTACTCAAAACTGCAATCTTTCAGGGTCTACTGAAGAAACTTATGACTGCTTATCCTTTGTACTAGTATACTTGTTAATTTCTGTCCCTTCCCTTCACCCATAAAACAACTTTTTCCTCACTCAAACCAAACCACCAAAGACTACTATTTGACCTCTGATTTCCTTATCCTCTATCACCATTCAACCCTAAGCTTTAAATTCTACTGCTCTTGTTTCAGTGGCCTTTTCTTTAAGCTGTTGACCACTCCCTTAATATTATACAAAAATTATATTTGGGCAGCAATTAAGTTGGAGAGATCTGCATTCAACTCCCTGCTCTGCCATTACTTAGTAATGTGCCCTTGGGTGAATTATTATTTAACTTCTTTGAAAATCAGCCTCTCCACCTATACGTAATTGGATGCTTGGGCAAGGCTGTAGGAAGACTTATCTGTTAAACTAGACATGAATGTATAAAGCACTGAACATGGGCAAAGAGACTCTATTAAGTATTCTTTTTCTCCCCCTCTGAATTTTCCCTAGGACCCACCTGGGAGTACCTCTATGTCTTGGCTGCTTCCAAGTCTGAATACTACATGTCCAACTGCTTGCCAAAAATATCCACATGATTATTCCACATATAACTGTAACTTAACCTGTTCCAAAAAACAAACACATTTTCTTCTCCACTAAACATACTTTAGCTGATGGACTCATGTTAATGGTATCATTACTGCCTCAGCATAGATGCTGCAGTGACAAAAAGGGCCTATGAATCTATCAGGCACAAAGGTACATGGATCCCTTTGGCCCACATCCTCCCATGCTGCTCCTGAACTGAACTAGCCTTCCATGTTCAGGCTTTACTCACCTTCCCTCCTTCAGTCTCCAGCCTGCTAACAGTTCCAAGTCTCCCACACCACACCACTACAAACTAAGCAGCAGCAGTCTTGTTATCCCACTACTTAAAACTTTCAATGTTTATTCCATAGACTAAGAATGAAACTCAAATACATTAGATACACAGGAAATTTGTCTCTGTCCAAACCTCACTTTCCAATAGCTCCCAGAATCAAACTACCACTCAAGTTTTCAGCCCTCCTGCCCTTTGAAACTGCTCTTACATTCTTTGAAATCCTAAAACTGACACCTTCTCAGTCCAAGTTTTCACCCACAATCCATGGTCACCCCACAGCACACACAAAAAGCCCAAAGGAAACTGTCCCTTCATAGATTAAAGTTTTATCAGGTTAGACTCCCAGGTGAAAGAGACCCTTTCTACAGTGTTCAGGAGTTAAACTGAATAAACATTCAGAGTTGTGAAAAGACTGGCTCTCTGGGAGATTAAGGTTACAAAGACCTTATTAGTAGCAATGTTTTATGAATTCGAGAAATAGTTGATAATAAGCACTACAAATCAAGCAGGCACAAGAACATGAACTTTAATTTGCAATCTGGCAGAAGCGAGCTGGCAATGGCAATACACCTAATAAACACAGCTTCAAGTTCATACAGACTAGGGCTAAAAGGAAAAGGAGCTGTAAGACACCTGTGTATTTTAAACTGTTCCCCCTTCTCAAGAAGTCAAAAAACCATCGCTAATTTTGGCATTTCAAAGTAATAACTACTGAGTGCAGCTGTAGGGTTAATACTGAGTACTTGAGCAACGTGGTTAATGTCAACTTCCACAGTACCTGCCATCAGGATTAAATACGGCGGCCTTTAAAAATATTCTAAAAACCCTCCTTTGTGTTCACTAAAAACATCCAAGTTAGTTTTCATCTTGGGAGAAGATGCACTTGAAATCTTTTAACAATTGTGCATCTGTGCAGGTCCTCATTCATTCAAGAACTACTTGCCAGGCACCTGAGATGGGTGGGAGGGGCAAAAAACTGCCCTCTGGGAGGCAAATATCTCACAGAATTCTACAAAGTTGAACTCTGAAATATTTAAGGCATTATTTAAAAATTTCTGGCAACTAAAATTGAGGAAATATCATTTGCATTTCAAATATGATTTGAAAATCACTACTGAACTTTTCATTTCACTGTCCAATGCCAGTTGCAATTACTACAGTCTGTGGAGACATGTACTCAGCAGTTGACAAAAAGTAGGTTTTATGGTAACCTGTACAGCAACAAATAATCTCAACTGCAGGGCTAACTGGAGGGTTCCCTAATATGGCACTAAAATTCTCAAGGATTAACACTCTAATTCTATTCCAAGTCGAACCACAAAAAAAATCTCCTGGTGAGATGCAGCAAGTTCTGACACTATATCCACACATGCCAAGCATCTCATTTCTTCAAGGCTGGTTATCTTTGGTATTTGAAAAGGGAAACATCATCCAACTCAATCCACAATAGTTTCCAGTCTGTAACTGCGTTTTAAAGCATCAATGGTCGTCTCCTCCTCCCAAATCGATTCTGATAAATAAGGTGGCATGGACTTTATGCTCCAAAAGCAGCACCTGGAACGATCAGAGATACAACTAGAGAGCTTTAAGGCGGCAGGCAGCTGTATTCCCGGTTTGGGGAGGTTTGCATATGGAACTGTTCCTGGAGAAGGGTACTAAGGATTCAAGTGTCTGGGGAGAAGGGTCCGAGGCTGGGGCTAGCTGAGACCCACGCCGGCTTTCTAGTGAACTAGGGCGGGGCAATCAAGTTAGCTCTCCCATTCAACTTTTAGGTGTCACGTAGGGGTAACGCAGCCTGGAGGGGGGGGGGTTACGTTCCGGCCTAGAAACGCTAAGGAACCAACCCTCTGCGCCTCCGTTCACCTCCCTTTCGCAAGTGTGTGATTCCAGCAGGCGGGGGATGGAGGGTGGACACCCTAACTCCCCGCGAGCCGGGATCAAAGTCCAACGGCCGACGCGCCGCGGCCTAAGCAACAGGAGAGCCGAGGCCCCACGACCCGAAGGAGCTCCCGCCCCCGAGCCCGCCCGCCCTGCGATTCGGCCCCTGACTGATCCCGGCCATGCCGGGCCGATAACGGGGTTGCGAGCCGAGAGCGCCGAAGAGCGGACCGGCGGGCCGGAAGGGGGCGAAAGGAGCGTCCCGGGTCGCCGGTGGGGGAGGGGAGCGGGGTCAGCCCCCCGGGGTGGCCGCGGCCAGTGCTCGGCCTCGGGCCGCTGGGCGCCCGCCCCGCAGGCCCGCAGCAGGAAGCGTCCCCACCTCGACTCCGCGCAACCCTCGGGCGGCGGGAGACGAGGCCCACCTCCCCCGCAGCAGCCCTGCCCAGAGCACCCCTCACCTCCTGGTTGAAGGCGTTGACGGCGTCCATGTTCGCGCTGCGGCGGCGGCGGCGGCGGCTCCGGGCCCGCCGGTCACACGGACCTCACGCCGCGACAGAGCGGGGCCGGGAGCCGGCAAGGCCTGGGGCGTGGGGGAGGGAGGACGGCTGGCGACGGGCGGCGCAGGCCGATAGGCCGGGCGGGAAGGGGCTGCGGCCGAGCGCGAGCAGAGGCGGCGGGGCCCTTCTCAGTCCCGCTCGCTGGAGCAGGTCAGGGACGCGGCGGCAGCGCGGGGCTCCAACATGTCCGTTTAGCGGTGGCGGCTGCGCTCTGCGTAGCGCTGACACGGTCCCCCGCGCCCTCACGCACTGGCCCACACTGGCCCGGCCGGCGAACGGGCGGGCCTCTCTCTCTCTCTCTCTCTCCTCTCTTTCGCCAGCAGGATGGCGGCAGCAGCCCGAGTGCACGCCGCGCGGGGAACCCTGGGACGGCTCGGGCCTCCAGCGTTTCCTGGGCCCGGCCCCGCCCACGCCCGCGCTAGGGCCCGCCCACGCCCCGCCCACTTTGGGCGGCCAGCGCCTGACGACACGACGTTGGGCGCTTTCCCGCCAGCGGCTGGCTAAGGCCAGGCGCGTTTATCCTGGTCTTCCGACTTGGCGAGCGCCGCAGAGCACAGGCTCCCGGATGCATGGTGCGCCGTGGTGTCCCGGGGACCTGTGCCCTGATGGGACGGCTGCCGCGAACAAAGGACGCGGGGTTTAACCTCGGCCCGCGTGGTGAGCGCTTACAGCGTCCTGACCGCACCGGGTATAGCTGTGCGACCCGGAGCACCGGTGCGGACACCCACGCGGTCCTGGAGGAGCGGATGCCGGAAACCCTGCCGTTGCTTTCCCCAACCCGGGTTGTTTCCTTTTCGGCGGAAGCGCTGCCCTGATTCACTTTCTTTGTGCCTTGCGCTGAGACCTAGTTGGTTGGGTGTGTGAAAGTGAAAGTTTTGTAGTGCAGTGCAGTGGGCAGGCACATGAGCACGTGGTTATAAAAGCATGAGGCCGCAACACATCTCACTAGAAGTTTAGGAAGACTTCCTGAAATGGCATCCTGAGCTAAAAGAATTAGAGAAAGGGTGGTGGGGTTTATGACTGGAAAAGAATGGGTTTAAGGGAATAATCACCTTCCATGTGCCAGGGGCCACAAGATATGCAGTTCTGTTATTTAATTTCCAGGACAGCCTTCTGTTGTCAGTGCCTGTCAGTAATGTTCTCACTTTAATAGTTGAGAGAGTGAAGCGTCAGTTAACATAACCAAGTCACAGCTGAATAATTTCCTTTGGGAGTTCCTGGCGTTTGAGTTGCCCCTTGGATAGGGTGTCCAGGATGCAGTTGGGTAAACACGTGGAATTGAGAGAGATGGATAGGAGAAGGTAGAGAGCTGGCAGTTACTCGTGCACGCTGATGGGGGCAGCTAAAATAGGGTAGACCAGGAGCACAGGTGTTCTAAGAACAAGAAGTGGAGAGTAAAACGGTAGAAAAGTTCTGAAGCTTGATCAGACCTGTCCATTGCTGAAGGTTCAAGTCCAGTGAGGTAAGAATTTAAAAGTACCACGGTGGGATAACTGGTTAACAACAATTAGTAGCAAATTTCAAATTAGCCAGTACAGAGGATTTTGAGCATATTCCCCATGGAAAGAAATGCTAAAGGCCCATTTGCCTTGATCTAATCATTATGCATTGTCTATGTTGCAAGCTGAAAGCTGGAGGAGCAGAGCCATCTAGATCCTTTAGAAATTCAGACATCAGACACGGAGGTACAGGATTTAGTGTTTGCCCTGCTGCTTTTCAGCCTTGCTTTGGCCCAGTATTTCCTCGCTATGTCTCCTGTTCTCCTTCCTTTTGGAATGAGAATGTACTCTGTGCCATTGTATGTTAGAGCTATGTAATTTGTCTTTTGAATTTATGGGGGTGTATAGTTAAACATTTTCTTGAGCTGGGTGTGGTGGCACATGCCTTTAATCCCATCACTTGGGAGGCAGAGGCAGGCAGATCTCTAAATTTGAGGCGAACCTGGTCTACCTAGCGAGTTCCAGGCCATCTGGGACTAGAGGGAGACCCTACCACAACAGATTTTCTTGAATACCAGGAGAGCCTGGATTTTTGAAGTGTTGAGACTGTTAAAGGCTATGGGGACTTTTTATTTGTCTTTGAGACAGGGTCTCAAAGTACTGAGATTAAAGGCATGTGCCACCACACCCAACCATGACTTTTTTTTTTTTTTTTTTTTTTAAAGCCAGGGCTCACTATGTAGCCCTGTAACCCTGGCTGGTGGGGAACTCACTATGTACATCAGGCTGGCCTCCATCTTACAAAGGTCCACCTGCCTCAGCCTCCTGAGTGCTGGGATTAAAGGTGTGTGCCACCATGACTAGTGTACTGTGTGGACTTTAAAAGTTGGAGTAAATGCATTTTGCATTATGATATGGCCAAGAGTGCATGGGAGCCAGGGAGTGTTAGTGTGGTGGTTTGAATGAGAAATGTTCCCCATAGGCACCTGTATTCGAATGTGTTGGCACCAAGTGGTGGCCCTGTTTGTGGAGGTTTAGGAGGTGTGGCCCTGAAGGTGGGTTTGAGAGTTGATAGCCCTGCCCCACTTTCAGCTTTCTCTCTCTCTGCTTCCTTTGGGGCTTGAAGATGTGAGTGCTCAGCTTCCTGCTCCAAGTGCCTCCTGACACTATAGACTTATCCCTTTGGAACCATAAGCCCAAATAAACTCTTCCTTTTATAAGCCTTGGTCATAGTGTTTTATCACAGCAACAGAAAACTAATACAGTATACAGGCACCAAAGTGCCACACTGTACCCTACAAATATGTCTAATTATATATCAGTTAAAAAGTAAAAAAACAAACAATTGGAAAGTGCTGAGTATGTTGGTTTAGCATCTAAAAACTCTTCTTACGTGTTAGCTAGAGAGAGGTGGGGGCAAAACTCAGCTGCTATGTATCATGGAGGGAGAAGGTAGGTAAGGAGAAATTTTATAGGCAAGTTGTGGAGACATCAGGAGAAAACACAGGATAAAGAGAAAGTTTATGTCTTTTAAAATGAGAGACATGGGGGCTGGAGAGATGGCCCAGTGGTTAAGAAGACTGACTGTTCTTGCAGAGGACCCAGGTTTGAATCCCAGCACCCACATGGCAGCTAAGAACTGTCCTAACTCCAGTTCCAGGGGATCTGACAGCCTCTTCTGTCCTCCTCGGGCATTGCACAACACGGGTGCGCTTACGTACATGCAGGCAATACATGCATACACATAAAATAAAAATAATAAATAACTGTCCGTAACTCCATTCCCAGGGGATCCGGCAGCTTCTTCTGACTCCCGCAGGCATTGCACGACACGGGTGCACTTACCTACAAGCAGGCAATACATGCATACACATAAAGTTTTTTTAAAAAATTTAAAAAAAATTAAAATGAGAGACATGAGCCAGGCATAGTAGTGCACACCTTTAATCCTGGCACTCCCGAGGCAGAGGCAGGTGGATCTCTGTGAGTACAAGGCCAGCCTGGTCTACATAGTGAGTTCCAGGTCAGCTGGGACTATAGGGAGACCTTGTCTCAAAAAGACCAGAGAGAGAGAGAGGTATTTACTTATTAAAGGAAAACCAAAATAGATCCTGTATTAATTTTCATTTTATAAGACAGTGTCTCCCTGTCGCCCCAGCTGGCTTGGAACTCACTATGTAGACCAAGCTGGTTTCAATCTCACAGAGATCTGCCTGCCTCTTCCTCTCAAGTGCCACCATGCCTGGCAATTTCCTTTTTCTTTTTTCTTCTTTTTTTTTTAATATTTTACTTATTATTTTATTTTATGTGTACGAGTGTTATGCCTGCATCAGGGAAATTGACTTGGCTATAGACACGTTTTGAGCTGGAGGCAGAAAGGCGCTTTTGGACTGGTGTTTTAAGGATTCGATGCACTGTAGCTCTTGGGCTACATAATGGTTATTGAATGAAAGAATGACAGTGAAAGGAAGAATGTTTTTGTGTACCAGCCTATTGAGAGTTTGCTATGTAAAGAGCAAGATTTTTTTTTAATTTTATTTATTTATTTATTTATTTATTTATTTATTTATTTATTTATTTGCTTTTTGGTCTTTTTGAGACAGGATCTCCCAGTAGCCCCAGCTGGCCTAGACCAGGATGGCCTCGAACTCAGAGATCTGTCTGCCAGTGCCTCCCGAGTACTGGGATTAAAGGCCTGCACCACCATGCCCAGCACAAGATTTGGTTTTAAGGATCCCTGTGTTTGAGGTAGGTAATGTAGACAGAGGGAATTATTTAGTGGAAAGGGTTGGTCAGTTTTATATTGACAGTATTTGGGAGGTCTTTAAACAAATTCTAAGCTGGTGGCACACACCTTTAATCCCACTTCTTGGGAGGCAGAGAGAGGTGGATCTCTGAGCTTGAGGCCAGCCTGGTCTACATAATAAGTTCCAGGGCTACATACTGAGACCCTGTCTCAAAACACAAGCAATAACCCAAGACACTGCAATTACTTGCAAACTTGCCTTCTCTCAAGGAACATGGATTTAAGGAGATTCGTTTGATTATAATGTGTGTGCAAAAATCCAAAGTCCTGGGAAATCATTGTAGACAAACTTGCATTTTTGAAAAGAGTAAATAGAATCAATAATCAGAGGTCAGAGACAATGAAATTGGGGTTACATTCTGGTCAGTTCTGTGCCTTTTGCCTATCAACTTATTTCCTTGAAAGGAATGCTGACTGCAATCCACAGGTGTGCTGAATATGCAGAGAAAGCGTCTCATTCCTAAAAGGCTCAAGAAACCATTTACAGACAAGATTCAAGAGCAAATGGTTCTCTCTAATGTTTTACTCCAGATGGGCCCCACCTGACTCTGTTTTGTGCCAACTTCTGCCTTCAAGCTCTTTATGCTGTTGCTTCCAAAAATGTGGAAGAATGGAAAGGGGGGAAGAAGAGCCAGGAACTCCAAGAAGAAAGAGCCCAGCAGCTTGAGCAGTGGGATTTTAGGGAATTTTTGTCTCTTTTTTCAGAAATTTCCAGAAGCCCACACAAGGAATGGGGTGGGGGAGAGCGAGAGAGCACCCACACAAGGTATGGAGACAGAGAGAACACTAAGGATTGAACCTTTGAACCTAGGGCCTGGCATATGCTAAGCACATGCTCTACCACTAAGTTACACCCCAAGCCAACATGTATTACTTAGGCATTCAGGAAGAGAAAGCTTTTTAAAAAGAGAAGTCAGAGCTAGGTGTAGTGGTGCAGGCTGGCATGTA